TACGGTGTGTAGTTAAATACAGTCTCACTTAAGTGTGTCTAAATCAAAACATTATCACTTAAAGTACGGTGTGTAGTTAAATACAGTCTCACTTAAGTGTGTCTAAATCAAAACATTATCACTTAAAGTACAGTGTTTAATTAAACACAGTGTCGCTTAAGTGTGTCTAAATAAAAAATTATCACTTAAAGTACGGTGTGTAGTTAAATACAGTCTCACTTAAGTGTGTCTAAATCAAAGCATTATCACTTCAAGTACGGTGTTTTATTAAACACAGTATCGCTTAAGTGTGTCTAAATCAAAACATTATCACTTAAAGTACGGTGTTTAATTAAACACAGTGTCGTTTAAGGGTGTCTAAATAAAAACATTATTAAAAACATTAAGTACGGTAATTAATCAAACCACTTAAAGTACGGTGTTTGATTAAACACAGTCTCGGTTATGGCACGCTGTGTAATTCAAAACATTGTCAGTATAAATACGGTGTTGGAAAAAGTCTCACTTGAGGTATTGAGGTGTTTAATTCAAAACATGATCGCTTATAGTACGGTGTTTAAAAGACTCTCTTAAGGTGTTGTGTTTAAGTCAAAACATCATCGCTAAAGTATGTCCAATTCAAATTTAATGCTAATTGTAGGTAAAGTCAGAGTTTATGCACGCAATGTTGTCGTCGAATAATTAAATATTTATTTCTACGATATCATTATTTGAAATGAGTTCAGGCCCTAAACTAACGTAAAATCTCAATCAGAAAAACAATATTCCGGAAATTATAGGCATGTTTTAGCCCTAGTTAATCAAAACTTCGTCGCTCGGTGTCCTTTAACTGAGTAACCCAAAGTTAATATACAAATAAATTAGAAAATTACGGAATCTTGTTATTGAGGTGTAGCCAGTGTCAGATTCTCATCCCTAATACCTCGTGCTACTTTCCCTTCAGGTTCGGTTATGAATTCATTATGTTATTTATCTTATTCATTGTCTATCATGTACAATTATTTAGCTCATTTTATATTCATTAGTTGCTGACTAATCGTTCTCAGCAGCACAGAACACATATAGGTGGATAATACTCGGCGTCCTTCATCGTTCACCAGTCTGCACAGAGAGAAAGAACAGAAACCCTTCGTAAACAGTGATGCTGTAACGATTTATCACCAGTGGATCAGCCTAGGTGGTTAAGCCTCGTTCGGTTCAACCAATGACAGAGGAACATCGATGACACACGCAGCTTCTTGTGCTTCTCCCTGCCAGAGTAAGATCTAGGGTAAACTGTCGGCTTCGTTCTTGTGGGTTTAGCACTGCATAACAAGGCGGAGCCCAATCATATCTTGTTGTGCTTCTCTTTTAATGGAGACAAATAGAAAAACAATTCCAGCATGATGAAGGTACAAAGAATCGGTACAAATGTGTAGCAACCTGAGTCTGTAGAACGTCACGTATCATCTGCTGTATCACACAAAAAAAAAGACTTCGCTACATCGTTATAGTGACAATCCGCTGCAGGGGAGAAGTGTTCAAACATCGTTCATTGCTTCAGTATATAAACAGCTCCACCTACATCCAAAGTAAGTGCATCTAAATATGTTGTTATTGTTCCTTTAAAAGACGAATTTTTAATTTCTGTAATTCAATAAACTTTTCAATTGTACACAGACGGCTACAACCTTAAACGGCTTTGTCTGTGTTCGCGGTTTCCCAGTCTTGTAGTCTAGAATATGTGAACTGTCCACTATGAACCTAATGAAATATCCTACCAAACCATCTTCGCACGGTCTGTGTTTTTTTAAAGAACATGTATCCATTGTATGGAACGGTACATTTCCTTTGTATCCGTTAAATTAAATCAATAACTTGCACAGTTTGGTTTAAAACAGAGACAATGTGTATCCATTGTTGCTTTCGAAGTAAAATCAATTTGTATCGTTGTTTTTCAAAATAGAATAAATACGTTCTTTTGTTCCTCTTGATGTTGAATCAATATTTTCCCATTGTTTCTTTCAAATTATTCTCATTTTATACTAAAATAAGATTCCGTGTGTTCCTTCAAATATAAAATATTACATTTACGCTGTTTGTTTAGGAATAGATTCAACATAATTGTATTACTTCTTTCAAAATAGAATTAATATTTTTCAGTTGTTTCTTTTTCAAAATAGAGTCAATATGTTTCCATTGTTTTTTAAACAGTCAATATATTTCAATTGTTTTTTTTAAACAGTCAATATGTTTCTATTGTTTGTCGTTGTTTTTCAAAATAGAGTCAATGTATTGTCGTTGTTTTTCTTAAAATAGAGTCAATGCATTGTCGTTGTTTTTCTTAAAATAGAGTCACTATGATTCCATTGTTTCGTTTAAAGTAGAATTACGTAAAATCCTTATATTTACACCGTTCTTCAAATAAAAGTCCTTGTATTTACATCGTTCTTCAAATAAAAGTCCTTGTATTTACATCGTTCTTCAAATAAAAGTCCTTATATTTCCACCGTTCTTCAAATAAAAGTCTTTATATTTACACCGTTCTTCAAATAAAAGTCCTTGTATTTACATCGTTCTTCAAATAAAAGTCCTTATATTTACATCGTTATTCAAATAAAAGTCCTTGTATTTACATCGTTCTTCAAATAAAAGTCCTTATATTTACATCGTTCTTCAAATAAAAGTCCTTATATTTACATCGTTCTTCAAATAAAAGTCCTTATATTTCCACCGTTCTTCAAATAAAAGTCCTTATATTTACATCGTTCTTCAAATAAAAGTCCTTGTATTTTTACTGTTTCTTTAAACTTAGAGTTAATATACTCCCATAGTTTCAACAACAACAACAAAAAACAGTCAGTGTATCTCTTAGAATCAACATAACCTACAGTTTTTACTTAATTCACTATTATCAACATGTTTCTATTCGTTTTGAAGCAATATGTTTCTATTGTTTATTTAAAAATCAAATCAACAGAATCAAATAAGTACTTACAACACAACAATTAAAATATGTTTGTGGAAACCGTCAACGGCTTCCTATTAAGAATTAAGTGTTTCAGCGTGTCTATACGCCATCTTCTGGCTTGAGTTCTGTAATACTATACTAAGTCTGAGCTGTATCTAAAATATTAACGTACCGACATAAATATATATATATAGAAAGACCGAACTGCATATTAATTGTCTATTTTCAGTTCTTAAAGTGTTAAATGTTATTCCCCCTTCAGCGCCATTGAATTTGATTGTCTCTTTACTAGTTATAATTTAGTTGCAACCATTAAATTACTGAATGTTATACGTCTATATCCATGGTACTCAATCCTTACATATTTATTTACCTGACAATCTAGTTATCTGCACTTTATATATTCTTAAAGTGTTAAATGTTATTCCCCCTTCAGCGCCATTGAATTTGATTGTCTCTTTACTAGTTATAATTTAGTTGCAACCATTAAATTACTGAATGTTATACGTCTATATCCATGGTACTCAATCCTTACATATTTATTTGCCTGACAATCTAGTTATCTGCACTTTATAGAGACACTTCTAACACTTCTAATGATGACTGCATCATTTCTTGAGCTGTTCAGAACATTTAAGAGATCAATGTGTTACCTCAAATATTTGTCTGAAAAGAAGCATTTTAATGCCATGTATCAAGAGCTTCGTATAGCAGATTTATAAGGAGCCATTTCATATTTAATGAAAAGATAAAAAAAAAACTAGCAAAGAGAAATAGGCTTCCGCTGCAATTATATTAAACAGAGCCACACAAATACACCACTCCAGTGGGGTCTGTTGCAGTACTTGTTTTTTTTTTATTTTCTTCTCCTCCTTTCTTCTACAGTCCCCATAGCAACAGCATACGAAATGAGTCGCACCTTATGCTTCATCTATCCACGTAATCGACTACAAACTTTGACGAATAAAACGTCTGTAAAATCAACTAACTATATATGTATTATCGACTAAAAAATGACTGTGGTATATTTAAACGTATTTATGATTTTTTTTTTAGCAAAAACAATCGCTTGTAGTCTTAAAAGAAATACAGAAAAACTAAGTACTTGTACTGGTTACAGTGGGTTTTCACCAACAGATTCAATCAATATTTCTCTGTTGTGCTTTTGTTGATCGTTAAGTCAGTTGCAACTCAGACGTTACTTTCGTGGACCAGTATCTTACTGTCTTCTTAACATTCAAACTTGTCAACTGAAGGAGAAATTAATGGTAATCAACGGTTTTTGTGAGTTTTATTGCTTAAGAACCTAAAACTGTTTCTAGATCATCTTAAGTCAAGAATCTCAGTAAGTTATTATTGTACCTGTTTAAAGTGAATGTGGTTGTTCTGTCGGTGAACACTTCAACTGTGAACTTGTGCTGCCCCCTATCTGTGTGATTACTCTGATTAGCATTCCAACAATGAATTCGTGCTCGCCCATCACTGTGTATTTTCTAATGAACACTTCAACTGTGAACTCATGCTC